CTGCCCTCAGTGCTCGTGTTCAGAAGCCTGGGTGTGGGGGCTAGTCCTGAGGGGACAGGAGCTGGGCAGACCCCAAAGTCCACATATGTTCTAATCCTCCTGTCCCCAGGCCACACGTGTCCATGTTGCCAGACTGTTGTCCCTGGGAGCAGACCTGGAGACAGGGGTGCTCTGCTGGACAGACAGACATCCCATGGGCAGAAGCAGCAAGGGGGCGGAAACCAGGGCTTCATGTCTGAACACTGGGCAGTGTCCAGAAGAGTGGGCACCACGTCTTCACAAGGACCGGCATGGAAACAGCCCTGGTAAGGGCTCCCGTGAGACTCTCAGTGATAGTTTACAAGGAGCCTGAGAGGGAATCCAGGCTGGCAGCTGCAGCCTGGGACAGCAGGGGTGTTGAAGGCTGGCGGGGGTGGCACAGGGACTGGGCCTGGCTCTGAGTGTGTGTCTGTGGGTGTGGATGAGCAGCAGCCGTGTGGCGTGTGTGTGGTATGCGCGGTGTGTATGAGAGGTTTGCATGTTATGTGCAGTGTCTGGGAGGAGCCCTGGAAGCACAGTGGGTACGTGTGGGATTGCTGACCACACGCAGGGCCAGCAGTTCAAACCACCAGCCCCTCTGGGAGAAAGGAGCATTCTCCTCTCAACGAGAGGTCCAGTCTCAGAGTCGCCGGGCAGTGTGAGAGATTTGAGTGGGTGGGCAGGTGAGGGGGGGGGTGAGCATGCGTGGGGTGGGCATGTGTGGCCCGTGAGAGGTTTGTTGTGGGAAGGGGGTATGTATGCTGTGTGCGTGTGCGCGCGTACACGTGTGGTCTGCTATGGTATGGAAAGGGGTGTGTGTGTGAGAGGTTTGTGCCTGCATGGTGTGGAAAGAGGTGTATTGTGGGAAACACGGAGGGAACTAGGAGGAGGACCACATTCCCTCACTTAGAACACAGGGAATCTGGAAAGCTGGTATTTACGGTAGGAAAGCCTCCACTTTGGTAAGTTAGAGGTCAAGTCCAAGCACACTATCCTGCTTGAAATCTTTCCCACAGACTCTCCCCTGAACAGCTCTGCTGCCTTAACGTGAGCACATGGCTGATGATGACATCTCCCTATAGAAGCAGACATGATCTTTCTGTTCCCTCTTCCCGCTGTGTCACCCAACCCCCCGATACCGGCCCCCATGAAGGAGGTATTAATTAGGTTTCCTCACCTGTGAGCTCAGGAAGCTTAATGGAGTCACTACCCACCTTGTGACGCATGTAAATACTGGATATGTACGTCGTAAGGCTACCAATAAATGTCCCAAAATAATAAAGGTTCTCTCACTTCTCCCAGTTCCACGTGGTCCATCAAGAGGAGCTGAGGTGGGCATGCTACCGTAAAATGGGTCTGACCCCTTTATTGAGCTCTCTCTCCTAGCTTTCTTACCCTCTGAGTTCACCACCATCTTTATGTATCATCGCTGTGCATTGGCACCTTCGAGCCCCTCGGGTGTTGGAGGCTGATTTCCTCTGACAGTGCACACAGAGGGCACACGTGAGAGGTCTATGTGGTGAGGGGAGGAATGTGTATTAGGAGTACATGGTCGTGGAGGATTTCTGGTATGTGAGGTACATATGCAGGAGTGTGTGTATGTGGTATTTCTGCATGGCCCGGGTGACTACGTGTGTGGCATGAAGTCTGTCTGTCTGTCTGTAGTGTAGGGAGGGGTGTGTGTACACACGCGGAACACCCTCTCTGTGTGCTTGCATCCCTCTAGGTTATGACGTGCAGTCATTTGGCAAGGGACAAACTTTTGCCCTGCATTGCTCACAATCCCACTGAAGAATGTTCAAAGAGAAACAAGCAGTAAGCAAACACTCGCATAGGAGGCTTTCTATGTCTCACTTCTGACCAGACTGGCAGAGCTAGAAGCAGCAGTGTCCCGGGCAGCACCTGGAGCACAGGCCCTGAGATCGACGTACTGCGTGGCCTCAGCTTCCTTACAGGTGAATTGTGGGGTTTCAGATTCAGATCAGGGGAAGGAGCTGGTTTGTGGCTGACGCTGCTGGATGAGTAGGCCAGCCTGCGGACCTCTGTGTACTGAGCAGCTGCTTTGTGCTCTGCACTCAGGCCTGCTTCATCCTCACCACACCACCTCCTCACTCACTGCCCGTCTGAGCTCAGAGGAGCTGCTCATTGGCCCAGACCCCCAACTGTAAGAGAGCCCATGAGGCCCAGGTGGGCCCTGCCCTGTGACCCCCGTTCTCCTTTGGGCAGGCCCACCTGGGAAGGCGTTGATGTCGATGACGGCATGCTGCCCGGTCTGGTTGTTGATGATGATGTCGATCCCGAAGAGGGACACACCCAGCGCCTGCCGCAGGGCCTGGGACAGCGCCCGGATGACCTCATCACATGGCCGCTCGAACACGCCCTCGATCTTGTCCAGCTGCAACACACAGGAGGAGTTAGGCCCGGGCACGGAGGGGACTGCCTGCCCAGTGCGGGCTCATCGGCACCGAGCCTGTCGGAGGAGGACCTGCCCCACCACCGAGCCGAGCGGGAGCAGTGCGGGTCTTGTCCTCAAACCCCTGGGGGAACAGGGGTTTGGGTGGGCCTTTTTAGGACAGGAGAGTCGAGGCTCGGAGAGGGTCAGTGCCTGCATGGACCACAGGGCTCAAAAACCTAGGGCGGACTTGGACACAGGTCCTTCAGGGCAGGCGGGCAGGGGTAGGGGTCTGCAAGGATGCTGGGGAAGCAGCAGGAGCTGCACCTAGAAGCTAGTGGGCAGGGGTGCCTGGGCGATCTGACCCCCGCAAGAGTGCTATGCTAAGTGAAAGATGCCGCATGCGCAGTCTTCTCTGATCTAGAGTGTGCGGCAGGAGTTGGGGGTAGGGTTGCCTGCTGGTCCAGAGTTTCCCGGAGAAAGTATGTGTAGGGTCCAGAGAGAATGGGGGGATGGCTGCACAACCCTGTGAATGTACTAAATGCCACCGAATTGCCACTCTAAAGTGGCGCGTTTGTGTGGACATGGCTGACTCAAGATAGGCAGCAGGTTTGCGCAACTCTCCAGTTTTAAAAAAGCATGTTGGGCGGACGGGCAGAGCCCTGGCCGCCAAGGACCAATGACCCTTTCCCTGCACAGGCAGCAGAAAGGGTCAGGGTCCACCCACCCACGGCCCCACTGTCCTGAGGGCTGACCTGGGGCAGCATCCTCTAGACAGGGTCCTGAGCTGTGAGATCTCCTGCTTGGCCTAGAGCCAGTTCATCGGCTTGGGGGG